CTATGAGGTAGAGTCTTAGTCCATAAGAGAGTAAGTGGCCAAAAAATTAAAAATAACATATTTGTACATATTTCCAGAATGGCATACTTATAAGATTTTTTATTATAGTACTACTTGTAATATCAAAGATTAGAAACATCCTTTATGTTTACCAATAGGAAGCTCATTAAATATATTATAGTATATACATAAAACAATGTACCTGGAAAGGAAGCTTACTTTGGAAAAAGTCCCAAGATGTACTGCTAAGTAAAAGGAAAAAAAAAAAAAAAAAAAAGCATAGAACAGAAGAGAAGCAAGATATATGCCACCTTTGCTTTAAAAAGGTGGGGAGGGGCGCCTGGGTGGCTCAGTCAGTAACGCATACAACTCTGGCTCAGGTCATGATCTTGCGGTCCGGTCCGTGAGTTTGAGCCCCATATTTGGCTCTTTGGTGATAGCTTAGAGCCTGGAGCCTACTTCAGATTTTGTGTCTCCCTCTCTCTCTGCCCCTCCCCTGTTCATGTTCTCTCAATCTCTCTCTCTCTCTCTCTCTCAAAGGATAAACACTTTAAAAAAATTCTTTAAAGGCAGGGAAAATAAGAATCTATATTTGTATCCATTCTTACCTGAATAAAGAAACAGCTAATTATGTTTATATAAGAAACTAACAACTGTGGTTAGTGAAATTGGGTAGGACTGGGTAGATGGGAGAGAGGGTTTTCACAGTATTAATCTCCATTCTTTGGTTACTGAACCAAGTGAATGTATTAGTTATACAGCAAATTAAATTAAAAATAGCTTCTTAAAGCAAACAAAAATTAAGGCATAGAAGAGTTAAATTACATAACTAATGTACACTAATGTGTCACATAAACTAGTAGTTTTATTCTAATAGTCATTCTCCTTTCTGATACAACAAATCCCTGAATTCTAAATAGGCACAAGATTGTACAGAATAACAGCTACATTTCCCAGCTTCACCTGCATCTAGGTACAGGCAGATGACTAAGTTACAGCAAATGAGTTCTAAGGGGAGAGGTGTGAAACTTTCTAAGTCATGCCCTTGAAGGAAAGAATTGTGCCCTGAGCTTCTCTTTTTTCTCTCCTTAAAAATATCTGAAACTCAAACATGGCAGTAATCGATCTGACCATACAGATGAGGTCAATATCCTAAGGTAAGCAAAGCATCAAGATCGAAGGGTTCTGGGCCCTTGACAAGTGGAGGCACCACATTAGCCCTGAATTATTTATGCTTTGACAGCTACGTAGAGAGAAATAGACTTGTTTGAGCTATTGTTAATTTAGGTTTCTATTATAACAGCCAAACTATATCTTCATACAACACATGAACTCATACAAATATCATTATATATTAGGCCCTTAAAAAAACCTACAAAGTAAAAACATAGATGTTATCTGATTACAATACAATAAACTTAGAAACTATTAACAAACCCCAGGTTAAAAAAAAAACATTCTACTACTGAGATCCCTAAAAAATTTATCTTAAAACAACTTTTAAGAAAAACTCACAACTGTATAATACTTATAAATTTATAATAATGAAAATCTACACCTAAGAAACAATGGGATATAAGCAGTGGTCAGAGAAAAAAGAAGTCTTAAATACTTATATAAATAAATATAAATACATTAATAAATATAAAAATGAAAATAAATTAGGGGTGCTGGGTGGCTCAGTCAGTTAAGCATCTGAGCCATGATTTCGACTCAGGTCATGATGTGACAGTTTGTAAGATCAAACCCCGAGTTATCAGGGGGATAATTATCAGTTATGCTATTAGAATGGAACTTACTTGAGATTCTCTCTCTCTCTCTCTCTCTCTCTCCCTCTCTCTCTCCCTCCCTCCCTCCCCCTTTCTCTGCCTCTCTCCTGCCCTCTCAATTGCAAAATAATTAAATAAACTTAAAAAAAAATGCCCGGATGGCTCAGTCAGTTAAGCATCTTGGCTCAGGTCATGATCTCACGTTTCATGAGTTTGAGCCCTGCATCAGGCTCTGCACTGATAGTGCAGAGACTGCCTGGGATCCTCTCTCTCTCCCTCTTCTCTCCACCTTTCTCTGTCTCTCGTTCCTTCTCAAAATAAATAAATACAAACTTAAAAAAAAAAAAAAACGAAGTAGCGGCACCTGGGCGGATCAGTCAGTTAAGCCTCTGACTTCTGCTCAGGTCATGATCTCGCAGTTTATGGGTTCAAGCCCCACAACTGGCTCTGGGCTAATAGCTCAGAGCCTGGAGCTTGCTTCAGATTCTGTCTTCCTCTCTCTCTGCCCCTCCTCCACTCATGCTCTGTCTCTCTGTCTCAAAAAATGAACATTAAAAAATGTTTTAAAAAACAAAATAAATATCAGGAAATTAAAAGGATTTCTTGTAATTTCAAGAAATTACAAGAAGATATAATAAGCATAATTTTAAAGTATTTATTTATTTATTTATAGAGACAGAGGGAGAATGCTAGGCAGGCTCCACACTGTTAGTCCAGAGGCTGATGCAGGACTCGAACCCATAAACCATGAACTCAGATCATGACCAGAGCTGAAACCAAGAGTCCAGAATGCTTAATTGAATAAGCCACCCAGGTGCCCCACATAATTTTAAAAGATAAAGGGCAGAAATTAGTGAATTGTTAATCAAAAACATGAATAAATAAATCTAAGAGGCCAATCTTTAAAAACAAAAGATAAATCTATTATTTAGTTTAATCAAGAAATAAAAGGTAAAGCTCAAATAAATAAAATCAAGAAATAAAGACAGAGGTGTAGTGGCCAAGAGCAGACCATCCCAAGACAGATCATTTTGGCACAAACATTACTTTGAGTTAAAAACAAACAAGCCCCAGCAGATACAGGAAAATCTCTTTACCTCCTCCTCAGTAGTAACAGGAAGAGCACTATTAACAGAATTGTTTTTAACCTAAGAAACTTATGTACGTAATAGGGCAACATTTATTTTCCAAACATCTACCTTCCTGCTACGGTCTTTCTCTTTCTGGTATCCTCAGATCCCTACCCTCCTCCTCAGCTCCTATAAGCCTCCTGTTGCCTCATAGTCTTTGGATTCTCCATGTTTTTCTAGATTCCCCATATGTATGCTATTAAATTTGATTTTCACTGGTTAATCTCTGTCACATCAATTTATTTAGTCTAGCTAGAAGGACCTTAAAGGAAAGAGGAAGACTTCCTCTCCAACAGAAGAAATTAAAAGAACGAGAGGCTATTTTAACCATCTGTGAATAAATAAACTTCAAAACCTGGGTGAAATTAATAATTGTCTAGAAAAATACAGTATATCAAAATTGGCCCCCAGGAAGATAGAAAATCAAAACAGACCATTTATCATATAATAAAAAGGTTGTACAAGTTAATCTTTCCTCAAAGTACTAGGTTTAGATGGTTTACCAAATCGGGTTTAGGCCATTTCAATGTTTTGTTTTCTTTTAGCTTTTTTTTAAGTTTATTTATTTTGAGAGACAGAGTGAGTAGGGAAGGGGAACAGGGAGGGAGAAACAATCCCAAGCAGACTCTGCACGTCAGCGCAGAGCTCGACTCTGGGCTGGACCTCAGGAACCATGAGATCATGAGCTAATCCAAGACCAGGAGTTGGCCTCTTAACTGACTAAACCACCCTCAGGTGCCCCTCAATGTTGTTGGGTTTTTTTAATATCCCAGAACACATAAAAAGGAATGGTCCCTAGCTTTTTTTATTGAAATGTACATGACATTTATACCTAAAACTAAGAAAAAAAGCTACAGAGAAGTCTCGCTTTCAAATGCAAAAATCCTAACTAAAATTTATCAATAACATTTCAACAGCATATTAAAAGAATGATATATCATGATCAAGTGGGGTTTATTCTGGAAATGTGAAAATAATTCAATATTATGAGCTACCACCATAATTTATTTTATTAATAGATATTGAGAGAAAAACAAGATTATTTTCACAGAAACTGAAAAGGTACTTAGTAAAAATTCATACCCGGGAATGTGAATACTTCTTTAATGTATGAATATCTGATCCCTTACTCTTTCTAATATAGTAAATTACCAAACTGAGTTTTTTTCTGGATGAGTTGGGAAAATTCTTTACTAGAATTCTTTACATCTGTCTTTACACATATTATACACATAATATATTATATGTGTTATATTATAATACATATAATATATTATGTATATATTAGAGATCTCTCCCTCTGGTAACTTTGTGTCAACAGTAGCTTCTAGATTTTGTGCCTTACTGAGAAAGGTCTCCTTTCTGAAATTATATAAAACATCATCACGCTTTTTCTTTATGTATTTAATATTTGGTTTTCAAGTCTTTCATTCATCTGGAATTTCTTGTGGAAGAAAGATTAAGGAGAAGTGCCAGTTTAGTCTTTTCTGCATAGTTGACCTATTTTCCCAACACTACACTAAACTTTTACACCAATGATTTGAAATGCTAGCTTCTCCTAAACTAAGTTCCATGACAGATTTGGGTTTATTTCTGTATTTTCCCTGCTGTTCTACTGACTAGTATATTAAAAAGATAGTATCAAAATTGTTTCAATATTTGTATCTTTATAATATACTTTAATATTTAATAATGGTCCAACTGATTGTTATTGCATATTAAGATAATAAAATTTTTTACAGAAAAAACTTTTGAAAATAGGGTGGAATTCAAAGAGAAAGTATTTTATCCTTGTAACTTTTTGAGAATGTATAACATCATTAAAAAAAGGACATTTTTAAAAAAAGGACATTTACTGGGTACTTACTGTGTTCAAAAACTTTTGTGAGAAACAGGTGAAAGGCATGATGTTACATTAGTTAAGGTTAACTTACAGTTTCATTCTAGTGAGGGAGACTGTTTGCTTCACAATCGGGGCTCACTCTCTTTCTCCATCTTTTTCTCATACACACTGTCTTTACATAATCAATGTTCATCCTCTTTCTGTCTCTCTTACACATATACTCACATGCACATCCTATATTGTTAAACTTATACATACCTGTTTGATTTCTTCAACAGCCAAAGTAACTGAGAACAAGACTGCCTGACTAATGCTGCCCTGACAGGAAATGTTACAGGCAGATTTAGGTCCTTACATATATATTCCATTTCTTTCACCATTGTCCAACTGTAACCTGAAATGAAGGAAATAAATTCCATTTTTCTAACGGGAATACTGAAAGTCAATTAAATAAGAAACGGGTCACCTGGGTGGCTAATTTGGTTAAGTGTCTTGGTTTCAGCTCAAGTCATGATCTCCAGGTTTCATCAGTCTGAGCCCTGCATCCAGCTCCCCACTGACAGTGAGGAGCCTGCCTGGGATTCTCTGTCTGCCTCTCTCTCTACCCCTCCCCTACTCACTCTGTCTCTGTCTCTCTCAAAATAAATAAATACATAAAACTTATTAAAAAATAAGAAACTAGGGACGCCTGGGTGGCTTAGTTGGTTAAGCGTCCGACTTTCGCTTAGGTCATGATCTCACGGTTCGTGGGTTCGAGCCCCGCGTCGGGCTCTTGTGCTGACTGCCAGCTCAGAGCCTGGAGCCTGTTTCAGAGTCTGTGACTCCCTCTCTCTCTGACCCTTCCCTGCTCACGCTGTATCTCTCTCTCCTAGAAATAAATAAAACATTAAAAAAAAATAAAAAATAAAAAATAAGAAACTAAGTTAAATTACTTATAAATGTAAATTCATAGGTAATTTATAAAAATTTCCCTTTGAATACAGAGTGCCTTAAAATACCACTTAATACATGAAAATATTTTAGGTGGGAAATGTAGACAAAAAATTAATTCTAAAACCATGCCACAAGAGACCAAGAGCAAGTTTAACAAAACATTAAAATATTAAAAAGGTTTCATGGGGCACATGGGTGGCTTAGTCGGTTAAGCATCCAACTTTGGCTCAGGTCATGATCTCATGGTTCATGAGTTCAAGCCCTGCATTAGACTCTGTGCTGACAGCTCAGAGCCTGGAGCCTACTTCAGATTCTGTGTCTCCCTCTCTGCCCCTCTTCTGCTCATATCTGTTTCTCTCTCAAAAAAAAAATAGAATAAAATAAAATGGTTTTACTAATCTCCCAAGCACAAAAAAAAAACAAATTTTGATATGCTATCTTAAATATTCTAAAGCTCTTCCCTTAGGTATATCTGCATCATTAATAATCTCTGTAAACTTATATTTTCCATTGTGTAATTAAGTATTCTTTTCCAAGAGAAAGATGGCTGCTAGGTACTAGATGTTTAATTAATAATTATCAGGGCACCTGGGTGGTTCAGCTGGCTAAGAGTCTGACTTCAGTGCAAGTCATGATGCCCCAGTTCATGGGTTCAAGCTCCACACTGGGCTCTGCACTGTTGGTGTGGAGCCTGCTTGGGATTCTCTCACTCGCCCTCTCTCTCTGCCCCTTCGGCATTTGTGCACTCTCTCTCTCTGTCTCTCTCTCGAAATAAATAAAACCTTTAAAAATTTTTAAGTAATAATTATCGCCATGGTTGTTTTTTGGCTAGTCCAAATTATTTATACATTTTACCTAAAGTAGAAATAGTGGTAAAAATGACTTTTATATATGCATTTTAAATCATGTTAAGACATTGTGGAAAACACACTTGCCTGTTTATAAAAACTTTAAGCAAAAAGTTCTGTTTTTTAAATAACACTAAACTTTGTCGAAAGCAGGCTGTAAAAAGTATTGGTCAAAAAAGGAACATTTTACAGAAAGCCTATGTAAATAAGTTAGTCTAGCAGCTAAATTCCTCATGAAAGAAGGGCAAAGTTCTGCTTTCCTGGAAAATATGAAAAACTGTATCATTTTAAAATTTTATTTATTGATTGTATTGATTTTCAGTGAGAAAGAGCACAAGTGGGAAAAGGGCAGAGAGAAAGAGAGACAGAATCCAAAGCTGGCTCTGGACCATCAGCACAGAGTCCAAAGTGGGGCTCAAATTCATGAACTGCGAGATCATGACCGGAGCGGAGATCAAGAGTTGGACACTTAACCAACAGCGCCACCTAAGTGCCCCTGTATCTTTTTAATTAGAAAAAGGGACTGCTAACAAAAGCTATATTTACACGACTATAAACTTATAAACTCTCCTTTCTAAATCTGAAATAACAAGTGAGGGAGCATAAAGTGCATGTTGGTAATGACAAGAGGCCAGTGGAAGAAAAGCAGCCTGGAAGCATTCAACACCAAAATGACTTCAAAATCCAGATATAGTAAAATTCAGTTCAAGCATGAGGTTAAGCCAGAATTATACTAAATAGTGATAAAAGGAGCTTGGAATCAGTAAAGAAGTTACTAAACTCTTTATAGTTTACCTTATTTCAACACTTTGAATTATAAGCAGTATTCCTTAATGAAATTAATAAAAATTAAAGTGATTAAAGAATTAGAATTAAGTTAAAGCACATTCTTTTTTCTCTGAATCTTACACTTGTTGGCCGAGGGGGCTAGAACCTAAATGTCACTACTCACTAGAGAGCAGCTACCCTAATCTAAAAAGTTAACATCTGAAAACAATAAATGCAAATAAGTAAAAAATGAATGCCCCAAACACAGGATAACGACTAACATCTCAGGGCATCTGGGTGGTTCTGTTGCTAGAGCATCCGACTCTTGATCTCCCCTCAGGTCCTGATCTCATGGTTCACGAGAATTGTTTACCTGGAAATCAATACCTCCGTATGTGGAAGAAATAGAAAGATGAACCCAAATAGCATAGTCAGTTTCAACCAGGAAGAATAATCTGAGTGTCACGTCCATCCTGAAGTGAAAAGGTGAAAGGAAAGAAGGGATCCAACCTAGAGAACAGCCTCGTGGCCTCCCACTTCCCTGGCCAACCAAAGGGAGCATGAGGGCACCAAAGTTCTAGCAAACTACTTTTGGGGGCCTCCCAATGTCTACAGAACAGAACTGGTGCTCTTCCACCACACTCCCTTTACTTCTGGCCTCACATCACTGCAGAAGTTTTTGTTACTACTTCTTTATCTTTCATCTGACATAGGAAGTTGCTCCAACGTCAAAAGAGTATATTATGTTTTCCAAGTTCAGAGAGACAACTCACGATGTGTTTAAAGTTTATAAAAAGGCAGCTTTGGTTAATCTAGACCTTGCAAATAAATATTTCCCATTGCAGCTTGGTAACAGAATATCACCAATGAATACAGTATCTATCTGAAATAAAAGAATGAAGAGTCATGCAGATGTCTTTAGGACCAAACGTTTCTCTCTATTAGGCTCTGAGATTCTGGAGTAAGTTTTTGGTTTTGTACTTCGAGGTGTTATTTTTATATTTCAAGTAGATTTTAATTTGAAATATAAGAAATACATGTTAAAAATTATTACCTTCATTGACTTTCTCAGGATGCCATCCTGTTGTCCAACCCAGGGAAAATGTGACATCTGGAAAGAAGGATGTCACCGTGTCTATAAAAGGTCTTGCATCCACTACTCTGCTATTTCCATTTGGACCAGGAAGAATATCAGCATTAATCCATACAGGACGCTTCAGATGCCTCTTCACATTTTCCAGGAGCATCATGGATGGTTCCACAGCTGCTAGACTAAAAACACAGTTTGTTATCAATAAGATATATTCCTAACGTAAAAATAAAAAGTTCTTTTATTTTATTATTATTATTTTTTTTTACAAATAGTTTATTGTCAAGTTAGTTTCCATATAACACTCAGTGCTCATCCCCACAAGTGCCCTCCTCCATGCCCATCCCCCCCTCCCCCCCACATCC